AAAGAACGAACGATTCGAAAGACTCGAGAGATGAACTAATCAATTCTAAAAAAAATAAAAAAATAAAAAGAACTAATCAATTCTCTTTCCGGCTCAGACTGCATTGGTTAAGTTCATGGGGCTGTCACGTGATGAACGAACGACTCAAACCCGAAGACTTGTCAGATAAGAGGTGAGGTGAGCTAATCATAGACTGAAGACCCAGGTAAACAATGAATTAATCTTTTCTGTTTCTTATAGCAGTTTTGTATTGTTTGTAGTGTGATCAACGTTTGCGTAAGTAGTAGACATGTTAGGGAAGTAACACGTAACATTTTAATTATATTTTGCTGAAATGAACGAAATGACTCGAAAAAAGATTCGTTCATTTTGCTGAACGAGACTCAAAGGTCCGAGTCTGTAAAATGATCCGAACTTCCCATCACTACTAGTGACTGAATATGATTCAAAGGAGCGACTCTACGCTCAATGCTGATGCTGAAAGCCTTCTCGCCGTTGACATGCCTCCCAGCTGGACTGAGACCTCCCTGCTCGGCTGACCTGCACTTCGCTTCAGCATCGCAGCAGCTCCGGTCCTGTTCCCCTGCCGCCATCCGGCGCTTCTAAAAGAGCTTCTAAAAGAGCAAATTGGTGTTGTTGCAAATGCCTTGCTGTTACTGCGGTTCGTGAAGGGCTCCCCTGCATGCCGATGACGGCCATGCGGAGTGCGTTTCCTGCTTGGGGAAACCCCATGTGGAAGCCCCTCTCACGGGAACTGATTGTTCTCATTGCAAGAACTTCAGTCTCACCTCTCTTAGCTCGTGGATCGCTTTCTTTTCAGAGAGCGGCTCCGCCCCTCGCGCCCTCCCGTTTTCTTCCTCCCAGGGACATGTGACCAGGTCTTTGGTCCTCTCGAAGGCAGTCGAGGAGCTGGGTTTGGAGTGGTCTCCACCAGAGGAGCCCTCTCGCAGCCGTCTGGACAAGTGGTTCCTGCCGGAGCGCCATCAGGCCCCTCATCAGCATTCCTCTCCATGTTTCCTGGAGGTCCATGAGGAGCTCACCAAATCATGGCGCGCTCCCTATTCCGCCCGCCTCCGTACTTCCACTTCATCCGCCCTCACCTCTATTGACAGCGCTGAAGAAAAGGGATACGAGAAGCTCGTATCTCTGAGATGGCCGCACATCTCTGCCTGCCCACGGCTATCAGATGGAAGGCAAAGGTCGCTCATCCATCCAAGCCTTGTAGGACCACTTCAGCACTCACTGGACGTGCCTACTCGTCGGCTGGACAGGCGGTTTCGGCGCTCCATTCTATGGCGGTCCTCCAGGTCTTTCAGGCCAAGATCCTCGCCTCCACGGAGGAGTCTGGCCTGGACCCCGCGACTTTCAGGGACCTGAGGAGCGCGACTGACCTGGCTCTGTGAGCCACCAAGACCAAAGAATTGACCACCAATCGATAGCACACTCCTCCTCAGCCACTTAGAGCACCTGGGACTCAGGCGATTGGGAGATCGATGGCCAGCCTTGTGGTGCTCGAGCACCATCTATGGCTAACGCTAACAGAAATCAAGGACGCGGATAAGGTCCCCTTCCTTGACGCCCCGATCTCTCTCAACGGCCTCTTCGGACCGGCGGACGAAGGATTCGCCGATCGCTTCAC